CCTTCCACCATCATCCCCCCCCCAAAGGCCACTCACCCCCTGAGAAGGCTCCAGGAAGCCCTGAACATTGGGAGCCAGACCCTGGGACCCCACAACGCACATCCACCCTCCCCACCCTCCCAAAAATCCCATCCTCTCCCACCCACCCCCCTGGGGGGGATTTGACTCCCCTGGGCACAATTTCTCCTGGGGATGAGGGTCTGGTCACCAGTGGGTGCTGGGTCATCAGCATCCCTGCTCCTAAGGAGCCCTCATTTAGACACCCCACACCACCTGGAGATGCTCAACCTCCAGAGGTCCAACCACCAACCCCTTCATTTATTTATTTTCCCTTGCTTTCTCATTTTTATTTATTTTTTTATTCTATTTTTTTCCCTCCCAAAGAGAAAATAAAACCCCTCTAACCTCCCTTCTTCAGCTCCAACTCGACTTGTCTACTTTGAGCCAGGATTACAGCACCGGGTAGGGGAGGCAGGTGGAAAATAACCTCGTAGTCCCAATCTCCTCGGCAAAGATCTCAGCCATCTCCAGGCCATTTATGCCTGTTGGTTCCTCTCCTCATCCCCCGAGGTGCAGATCTTGCTGCAGATCCCTCTTTCCTGGGAAATTTCCCTTCTCCGTGCCACCCTCCTCTCCCTTCTCCTTATGCACTAGAAAAAATAGTACAACCCTGACCAGGCTTGCAGCATCCAACTGCTTTGCTTAACCCTTCTCTGCCAGGCCCACAGGAGAAGAGAGGCTGAATTTGTCCCAGATTTTCTCCTTTTCCTGCTTTTTTTCCTCCCCAGAGGCTGCCTCAGCAGCCTGGCTGGCTTTGACCTTCCTTGGCTCCTCTAAGCATCATGTTAAAAACCATCACAAACACCATCTTGCTGCAAAAATATCTATCTATATATCTGTATCTCCAGCAGCCACAAACCCCCATTTTGCCCCCAAATCAACCCATCTCGAATTCATTCTTTTTTTATCTAAAGACACAGTTTTCTTCCTGCCCATAAACTCTCCCCTCCCCTTCCTCCTTTCCCTGAAACCCCCAAAATCTGTTTAACAGCACAGAGATTGGCTTCCTTCTCTTTTAACATGTCTATTTTCAGCTGGTGGGAGCTCTGGGCTCCTTCCTCTGAGCTCAAACCCAAGCAGAGCTGCTTGCTGAAGCCCAGAGACAATCGTGGCATCATCTATGGGAACATCACAGCCCCCAAGACTCAGTTTCTCCTACTTTCTCCCCATCACCTACTTCCCCAGCAACTCCTATTTTATTTTATTTTTTCTCCAAGCACCTTTGGGGTTAATTCATGCAAATTTGGGGCTGGGAAAGCGGGGGTGAACTATGGAGGAGGTGAAGATTTGCCCAAAGACCCTTAGTTTTCTCCCTGCCTGCACTGCCCACTGCAGGCAGGAGCCTGCAGGGCTTTTCAGCCTGTAGGGTTTTTTGGAAAGGGTGACATTTGGGGGTCCTTGAGGACAAGGTCATGTTTGTGCCTAAAAACCTGGGATCCTTCTGTCTGCAGGGTTTCTGGACAGGGGGAAAGGATGGAAGGAGGGGGACAGGATGGAAGGAGGGGGACAGGATGGAAGGAGGGGGACAGGATGGAAGGAGGGGGACAGGATGGAAGGAGGGGGACAGGATGGAAGGAGGGGGACAGGATGGAAGGAGGGGGACAGGATGGAAGGAGGGGGACAGGATGGAAGGAGGGGGACAGGATGGAAGGAGGGGGACAGGATGGAAGGAGGGGGACAGGATGGAAGGAGGGGGACAGGATGGAAGGAGGGGGACAGGATGGAAGGAGGGGGACAGGATGGAAGGAGGGGGACAGGATGGAAGGAGGGGGACAGGATGGAAGGAGGGGGACAGGATGGAAGGAGGGGGACAGGATGGAAGGAGGGGGACAGGATGGAAGGAGGGGGACAGGATGGAAGGAGGGGGACAGGATGGAAGGAGGGGGACAGGATGGAAGGAGGGGGACAGGATGGAAGGAGGGGGACAGGATGGAAGGAGGGGGACAGGATGGAAGGAGGGGGACAGGATGGAAGGAGGGGGACAGGATGGAAGGAGGGGGAAAGGATGGAAGGGGTGGGAGGGAAGGATGGAAATGAGGGTGGGGAGGAAGAGAAACAGGCACCAACTCACACCGGGCTCCGCAGTCAGGCATGCAGGGAATGCACAAGCAGCCGCTCGGCGCCGGCACCTCTCACCTACAGCCCCCCCAAAATCCCAACCCCGGGACTCAACCTCCAAAGAAGGCAGCTGAGCTCCTCCATGAATATTCATAAGATTCATATGAGCATCTTTCCCCCCCCAATCCCAAACCCCTCCCCGCCTCCCTCCTCCCAAGCAGGAGACCTAGATTTCAACCACTGGGAAGTGATCATATCCCTGGATACGTGATGCTGCTTTTTTTCCCCCGTGCGGCTCCGATCCTTCCCGTGTTCCTGGGAACAGCCTGGATTTGCTCAGGGAGGTCTTGGGGGGGTGGAGAACCACGGGATCTGAGCAGCTTTGGGGAAGGAGGTGGGGCAGGATGGGACTCCCAGGACTCTGGCTGGGCTGAGGGTGTCAAAAGCAAGAATTGGACATAACTTTGCATTTCCCAGCCTCCCTTCCCAAGGAGACGTTGCCCCAAAGCAGAGAAATAACCAAGCTCCAACAAACTTGGCTTTGAAGATGTGTGGATCAACCCTTTCTTCCCACAAAGGGTTGTCAGGCCCTGGCCCAAGCTGCCCAGGGTGAGTCCACATCCCTGGAGGGGTTTTGTGGTGCTGAGGGATGTGCTGGTGGCCTTGGCAGGGCTGGGGGAGCAGTTGGAGTGGAGGACTTTAAAGGTCTTTTCCAACCAAAATGATTCCATGATTCTATTCTGCCCTAGGCCAGGAGGGACACACACCAGCTTGGACCACTCTGCTGTTTCCCCACAGCCCCTCCAAGGGCACCAGGGCAGTGACAGGTCCCACCAGGCACCCAATACCCGTGAGCACTGGGGGAGGCAATGGAAAAGAATTCCATTTCCCTTCCCAGCTTCCAGAGTTGGAAGGAGCTGCAGGTGCTGGGACAACAGCCCAGGGAGGGGATGGGAGGGCATGGACCACCCTGAATGCCCAGGAAAATCAGTGTTCCACATCATGTCCAGCCAGGCAGGGGGATGTGGGGATGTGGAAGGGCAAAACCACCTTATT